TCTTTCCCTCTTCCCCAACGTCCTGGCAACCACTAGTCTCCTTCCTGTCTCGATTTACCTATACACCTGCCCTTCTGTATATTTACTTTTCTGTTTCATGCAAATGGAATCACACAACGTGTCCTTTTGTGTCTGGTTCCTTTCACTCAGTGCAGTGCTTTCAAGGTTCACCCACGTTGTAGCATCTCTCAGTATGTCATGCCTTTTTATGGCTGATTCTGTAATTTGTTACCTGTGGTCCTCCATGACCTCTTCAGAGCCTTGACACATGGCTTCTGTTCACGCATAGCTCTGGCTTCTTCCTAACTTGGCCTTCATAACATGACCTTTTGTGGCTTCTCTCTATACACCCTTTTAGCCTCGGCTTCCTGCTGTCCCCTTCTTAGCATTTCCCAATTCAAATTCTGAGGAGAGAATCTGACTGGCCCGGCTCATCTTTTCTGCCACGTCCCACAGGTGATGGCCTGCTGGCCTGTCTTTGCATCACCAGGATCTAGCCTCTGCCAACAATCCTCCAGTTGACTGCAGTGGGCAGCCTAGCTGGGTGCAAAGATAGGGTGGTTTCCATTAGAAGGCAGGGGGCAGCTGTCAGGACCAACGCTTCTGTCAGACCAGCCAGTGTCTCCAGTGCTTCCTTGCTGGCTGACCTGGGCAGGTCAGTTCCCCTCTCTGAGCCTCAGTTTCCTCTACTGTGACATGGCAACAATAATGGTATCTACCTCATGGGCTGCTGTGGGGACTTAAGGCGTGCTGCTTTAGAGCATCTCCTGCAGGGCCAACCTCTTGGGATGTTGGGTTCCCTCTTCCTGCCCCTTCTGTTGGCCTGAAGCCCAAGGCACAGAAAGAACTGTGAGTCCTAATCCCTGAGGGGCTGCTAGAGGGGTCGCCAGGGGCTAGGGCTGGTGGGTGCCAGGAGAGGACTCCCATCAAGGAGGACTGACCTGAGTAAGCCTCAGAGGAATTTGAACAGAGCAAGAAGCTAGTGCCCTGAGTCGAGGCAACCACGGTTGGCAAAGGTGTGGAAAGGGGAGCTAGAATGGTCCATGGGCAGGGACCTGAGGCGACTGACCTGCTGTTCTCCCAACCTAATGACCCTCTGACCTTTGATCCTGTGACCTGTGAAGTAGGCTTGGGGCACTCTGAGTTTACAGTTGGTTGCACTACGTTTAAAAGCTTAAAAGCTCCACCTTCGGCCAAGCAGGCCAGGGGAGTTTCAGTGAGTGAGCCCCCTGACTCTGCCCCATAACCCCATCCTGACCCACCTCTAGGAACCTAGACAATTTTCTGCCTTTTGTGACCACAGGGTAACAGCAACCTGATTCTGCCCCATCCCTGAGACCCCAGGCTGACTGTGCCCCATCCACCCACCCCCCAACACCAGGATGACCCCGCGCATCCCTGTGACTCAAGACTGACCCTGCCCCATTCACCCTCCAACCCCAGGCTGACCCCGCCCCTCCCTGGGCCCCAGGATGAACCCAAGTCCAACCTCCAATCTCCCTGACCCGGGTCTAACCCCCCACCCCTCCCAGGGAGGAGGCGAAGGCCAAGTTAGGCATGCTGCGGGAGAGGGCAGAGAAGGAGGTGGCCCAGAACGACACGGAGGTGCAGATCTTGCAGCGGCAGATCGCGCACTTGGAGCAGCTGCACCGCTTCCTCAAACTCAAGAACGGCGATCGGCAGCCGGATCCCGCCGTCGTGGAGAAGCGCGAGCAACGGGGTGAGGCCGGGGCCGGCACCTCTGCCTGCAGCAGGCCGGGCCAGGGGAGGGGCGGAGCGGCTCGCTCCAGGTCTCGCCGCGGGGCGGGGCCGGCAGGAGGGCGGGGCTGGAGGGGCGGGGTCTGCGCGGCTGCGGTGTTGTTGCCCCCTCCCCACCAGCGTGTCCAGGCAGGCCCCTCCGCCCTGGTGGCCGCCCCGGACGCCGACCTCACTGCCCCCTCTCACCCCAGCCCGGGAGGTGGCCGAAGGCCTCCGGAAGACCTCCCAGGAGAAGCTCGTGCTGCGCTACGAGGACGCCCTGAAGAAACTGTCCCAGCTGACCGGGGAGAGCGACCCGGACTTGCTGGTGGAGAAGTACCTGGAGTGTGAGGCCCTGGGGGTGGGGGGTGGGGATGGAAGGGGCGGGGAGGGGGCGGGGCAGGAGCACGGCGCCCAGCCCCCCGGAATCCAGCGCAGACTGTGCTCTGTCTCGGTCACCGAGGGCCTCCGCTTCGGCCCTGGGGACTCCTCCACCTGCGCTGGAGGGACCAGGAATCAGGCTCCGCCCTACTCGCCTCTTCCCGTCCGCCCTGCCTCCGCCCCTCTCTCTCCCCCCCTTCTCCCCAATCTCTCTCCCACCCCCGTCTCGGGCCTTCTGACCCCTCCCTTCTCTGTGTGTCTCCACCCGTCTGCATCTCTCTGTTGTCACAGAGTGTATCTCCGTCTTTCTCTTTCTGTCCAATTTCCCTGGCGTGTCTGCCTTCCCGCCTCCCCCATCCGTCTCCCCTTCCCCGTTCCCTCCCTCCTCCGCCTCCCTCATTCCTGGGCCTGCGGGTCACCCTGGGAATCTTCCCGTCAGCCTCTGTGTGCCTATCTCCGTGTCCCTGTTGCTGTCTTTCTCCCGGGGTCTAATGTACTCTCTTTACCCACCTTTACCGTTTGCTCTCCCTCACTTCTCTGTTTCTCTGTGTCTCTCTCGGCATTTCTGTGACTCTCTCTCGGTCGCTATCTCTTTCTGTCGCTCTGCCTTGCCCTGTATTTCTCTGTTGGCCCCTGTGTCTATTTTTTGCCTATATCTCTCCGTCTCTGTCTCTCTTTGTCTCTGTGTCTTTGTTGCCTTTCTCAACATCTCTTTCTCTGCCTTTCTGTGTGTGTCTCTCTGTTTGCTGGTCTCTGTCTCTCTGGACCCTGCCTTTCCCGACTCGCCCCCAGTGGAGGAGCGGAACTTCGCGGAGTTCAGTTTCATCAATGAGCAGAACTCGGAGCTGGAGCGTCTGCAGGAGGAGATCAAGGAGGTGACCGAGACCCGCCCCGCCCCCTCCCCCC